AGGGGGAGGAGTGAGAGGGAGGGGGAAAAAGGAAGAGGAGGTAGGGATGGGAGGAAAGTGTTAGGGGAGGAGTGAGATGGAGGGGGAGGAGTGAGAGGGAGGGGGAAAAAGGAAGAGGAGGTAGGGATGGGAGGAAAGTGTTAGGGGAGGAGTGAGATGGAGGGGGAGGAGTGAGAGGGAGGGGGAAAAAGGAAGAGGAGGTAGGGATGGGAGGAAAGTGTTAGGGGAGGAGTGAGATGGAGGGGGAGGAGTGAGAGGGAGGGGGAAAAAGGAAGAGGAGGTAGGGATGGGAGGAAAGTGTTAGGGGAGGAGTGAGATGGAGGGGGAGGAGTGAGAGGGAGGGGGAGAAATGAAGAGGAGGTAGGGATGAGAGGAAAGTGTTAGGGGAGGACAGCATAGGTACGTATATCTCACCGCGCCTCCGCAGGTGAAACCAGAGCTACAAGCTAGGTGAGCGGAGGGAGGGGGAGGTGAAGATGGGAGGGGGAGAAAGAAAGGGGAGGTAGGGAAGGGAGGGAGGAGAGGGGAGGGATGGTCAGGAAGAGCACGGCAACCCCACCGTGCTGCCACACGTGCAGGAAGGAAGCCGATGGAGAAAAGTAGGAGAGAGGGAGTTAGAGTGTTAGAAGAGAAAGGAAGAAACAGAGAGTAGACTGGAACGAAACGAGAGAATCGCTATTAAATCGGTATTTAATAAAGTACAGGAATAAAGTAATTAATAACATACTTTATCATTAATAATAATATACATTATACTTAATATCAGTATTGATATCATACTGATATTAAGTATAATGTATATTATTATTTAATTTATTAGGTTAAAGTTAATGGTTAAAATTGGTTAATGGTTAATTAACTTTAAAATAATGAAATAGTTTAAGTACAAGACACTCCTACGGAATCGCGAGATGTTCGTGCAAATTAAATTGACTACGTCACGAATTTTCTATGATGTAAATTTTGTTGCCATTTTTTACATTAAAAGTAAGTACTAACAGGAGTAAATGTATCGTCAAATTCTTACCTGATGAGAATGTTTTAAAAATGCAAAAAAACATGGACGATTTGATATTATGATCCTGACATTAATTGCTTGCTATGTGCTATGTATGAGTCACGAGTGTATGTTCACATCGAACAATATAGTAAAACAGGAAGTATAACGCAGCAATTTAACCGTAAAAAGTGAACAGAATCACTTACATTTTGTGAAAAAGTGGAAATGTTTTTTTTAACTTTTACTATTTATGGTGACGTAATCACTTTAAAAGCTCTGTGTTTGCAGCGGCCTGGAGCTGAGCGGCTACAGCTATGTGAACAGCGGCACGAAGGAGCGTGCGACAACCCTGCTCATCGCTGGCATAGTCGGACTGGGGGAAGTCAACTCGAACATGGGCAAGGTTCTGGCAACAAGCATTTACGCGCGGCTAGAATAGCGTATCGTTACCGGTGTCGTCGTCACGCGTGCTTTTGTCTAGGATTGCTGCGCTAGGGTTGCCATCCGATGAATCGATGATTCGCCCCTGTGTTGCGCATGCATCGTTAATAAAGCGCGATTACAAAAAGTTTCGACATCGGTAGTTGGTTGTCGTTAGTAAAGCTGTCGCGTGTGTTTTGTGTAGGTGTTCAGCTACGTGTGACGCATGACTCATTACTTAGACTGTCGCGTGTGTTTTGTGTAGGTGTTCAGCTACGTGTGACGCATGACTCATTACTTAGACTGTCGCGTGTGTTTTGTGTAGGTGTTCAGCTACGTGCGACGCATGACTCATTACTTAGACTGTCGCGTGTGTTTTGTGTAGGTGTTCACTACGTTGGACGCATGACTCATTACTTAGACGGCTCACGTGGATTTTGTGTAGGTTGCTTCAGCTACGTGTGACATGACGCATTACTTAGACTGTCGCCAGTGTGTTGCTGTAGCAGTGTTCACCCTACGTGTGACGGCATGACTCCATTACTTAGACTGCCGCCGTGTGTTTTGTTGGGTAGGTGTTTCAGCTGACGTGTGACCATGACTCAGACTTAGGACTGGTCGCGTGTGTTTGTGTAGGAGTAGCGTTGGCATTGCGCACGCGCAGTCTTGACTGAGACGGTCTCCCATGTTTTGTCAAAAGGATTTCAGTCTTTAGTGGGGCGAGTGCACGCATGGAGGAATGAGAGCCAGCGCTCAAGATTGAACTCCTAGCAGGTACAGTCGACCTGCAGCAACGTGGCAACCCCTCCAACGCTGCGACGAACGGCGTTAGAGTAGTCGGTTAGTTGAATTTCCTCTCAGCCTCCTACTAGAGTAACTCCAAAAGTAAACAGCTTACATCCCAGGCGATCTGCCCGGGTTAAGATTATGTGCGCTGCTTGCTGTAGATGGCGCAACAGTCCTGGACTGCGTAAGCGAAACAGCGGTGTCACCCCTTCGCCAATAGTTGTAGCAGTAGTCCATGATTTGGGGAAGCGTCGAGGCGCCCGGTGGAGAGAGACCAAGAGAGAGCGAGAGGAAAGGAGGAGAGGAGAGAGAAGAGAGGGAAAGAGCAGAGAGAGAGAGACGACGAAGAGAGAGGAGGACGAGAGGAGATGGAGAGAGAGAGAGAGGAGAGGAGAGAGAGGAGAAGAGAGAGAGACCGAGCAGAGAGAGAGAGAGAGAGAGAGAGAGAGAGAGCAGAGAGAGAGAGAGAAAGACGAGAGACGAGAACACACTTCCTCATTCCACGGTGACAGCCAGAGAGCGAGAGCGAGAGAGAGAGAACGAGAGCATCCGTGCGACGGCCCTTAGCGAAGGTTTACCGATGCTCTCTTGTTTTGCCGCAGGGATGCCGAGCGGCCTCGTTGTGACACCAGAGGACGAGAACGAGGTGACGAACGGTGAAGCGGCGTCGTTCAACGTGAGGGTGGTCGACGCGGCAGGCAACGCCGCAGCGGCACCGCACATGACCGTCGTCGCTAAGGTACGAAGGTCATCGCTAAGGTACGACGGTCGTTGCTAAGGGCCGGCGTCGGAGCTAAGGTACGACGGCTCGTTGCCTAAGGTACGAAGGTTTGTCGCGAAGGTACGGCGGTTGGTTGCTAAGGTACGGTCGGTCGTGCTAAGGTATGGTGGTCGGCGCTAAGTACGGCTGGCGTTGCTAAGCGTATGCATGGTCGTGCTAAGGTACCGGTTTGGTCGTGCTATAAGGTATGCTGGTCTGTTGGCTAAGGTACGGCGGTTGTACAATCTAACGGTTACGGCGTGTCTTGCTAAGGTACAGCGGCGCTTTGCTAACGGTACGGCGATCGTACATGCCAAAGTTAAAGGTGGAGGTGATAGGTTTGCCGCCGGCTGCGACAGCGAGGGTGGCATCTCAGAGCCGAATAGTTGTAGGCTGCATGTCTGATAGACAAGACCAGCAGGTGCGTCAGACTAGCGATAATTTCGGTAATATAATTTCCCATTTCTTACTCCAGTTCGACATGGTCAAGGGAGTCCTATCCATCCTGTCTAGGACCAGTAACATTTCTGGGCAAGAACTGCCTAATTCACTAAAGATTTCACGCATATCTATACACAATACGAATTACATTAATAAACAAAACCATACGTAATATAAATTAGCAGAAAAAATCAAATCTCGAAACTCGGGACTTCCGATTGGGAGTTTATCGTACGATGTTTCCGCTGACCGGACTAAACCGTCAAGGGCTGCACTCGTGTGTTTGCGTAGTCGGCGACCCGGTGGCATCGACCTACACGCTCGAGTGCCGACGCCGCGGAGGGGCTTCGACTACGGTAAACGTGGCGCCCTCACACTGTCCGAAGATGGTGCGGACCGGAGCTGATCACCCACACGTCGAGCTACAGGTGTGCGCCTACCTGGTGCGGCATGTAGGCGTGCGCGGTGCGGGAGGCGAGGGTTGTGTTGATCATTGCCCTCGTTTCTCCTTCTCTCTGTGCTGTTCATTTGCCTCTTCTCTCGCTTGCTTTTCGGCTCCTCCGCGTTTCTTGCTTTCTTCCTGCTTGTGTTCGCTTTTGTTACAGGTTGCCTCTTTTATCCTTTTACGCCTGTTTTTCTTAATCGCTGCTTTCTCTTCCTCAGCTTCCTGTTACGACGTCCTCTCTCCGCATCCTGCTGTCTCCTCCGCCTCTTATCATTCATCCCGCGTTCTGGCCTTACGTGTATAACGTTATATGTTATATACTATATAATATTTAAACAGTTATTCGCCGAAGGCCGACTTGAATCTTGTTAATAATTATGTGAAAATATTGGAAGTATAATTATAATCATTAATTATTTAATTATTCAACCAGATTCACCGACGCCTGAGGGAATAACTGTTTAGTTGATTCGATTGCCCGGAGTAGATAAAAAATAGACAAAGAACTAAGTGCTGAAACCACTCATGTGACAAAACGTTTTCGTAAAATTATATGCTAAATCAAGTGTCGCGCAACCATTTTGCTTTGGTAACTCAAATCGTTGCATTTCGGCAAAATTTTAGCCCCTCAACGAAAACTCAAACATATACCGTTAGGAAAACGGTAAACAACCTTGTTGAAACAGTACTTTAGCCCGAATTTACCCTGAGTCTCAAAACTCCTTATTTCACGTTATCGAAATCAACGGGTAAAAGTAATTGTTATTCTTTAGTTCATGACGCCTGGGGTTAATTATAGACGTCCCCATGGTTTAATTCTAATTAGGTAGTTGCCATGCAACATGCTGTTATGAGAAAATCAGTAGTAAAAAAAAAGATAACTAAAACGAATCATCAACTACAACATACGGTATTAATAGTTTAACTCCAATGTCTAGTCACCAATCTTGTATTTTGGAGGCACTTAATTTATTAAGAATTGGAATCAAATATAATTGATTCGGCTTCACGATACACATTTCAAATATATCAAGACGCTACATTTTGCGCACCTACAATAGTAACCCTGATCGAAATATATTCACCTAGCGTGCTCATCAAGCAGCGTGCAGATTCCTTTAATAATCACTCCGGGCGATGATACTAAAAATATATATATATATTATATATAATTACATACCGTATTTATTCGTTGTATAAGTCGGCCACACTTTTTGTACACAACTTTTAAGAAAAAAAAAAATCTGTGTGTGCGACTTATACATGCAGGCCTAAGAAATCTTGTAATGCTACCGAATGTTGTGTTTACCAACTTTTGCAGGCAACAATATATGGGATTGCCACTTATACTCGAATGTTGACGTATACACGGAGTAAATACTGTGGTAAATAAATCTATATTATATTGTATATTACTCATCTTGAATCGTATCTCCGTCAATGACGTACGTCTGGTTTATTTCTATTGTAATATTAATTAGGATATATATATATAATCAGCCGGCTAGATATAAGAGCAATATATTTTCATTTGTCTACTTCCTGATATAATATATACATATTTATTATATATATATATATATATTCAAGAGCGGATAATGTACTAGAGTTGGCCTACAATCGCGCAAAAACGGAAGAATATAGTGCTATTTTCACGAATACCATTTATTCTACTTTGCCTGCGAGTCGTGAATAATTCATGGTATTGCATTAAGCAGAAATTCTTTGCCTCTCTAAAAGTCAAGACCAGACCGCCTTGTCAAATTACGATACTCCTTAGGCCCGAGATATCGCGGCTTCCTAAACCTCCCCTCGCCACATGCCAAACGCCGCTCTCGAATACACTTCTTCCCCATCTACACGCGGGCTAGCAGCCGTGTGCTCCGCTGAGAGTTCGGTTTTCTCCGCCATAATTTTATGAATGAATTTTTTCGGAGCAGTGCCAGGGTGGAGTGACTTGTCGGGGGCATCGCCTATGCCCTTATCTCCATTATCTTCCTAGCACCGCTAATGCCCGGTCATGATGGGAGCCGGCAATGCTTTTTTAAGATAAGTCTCTACACGCCAGCTAGTAAAGAGTACTCCAAATTTGGCGCATTGGTGACATCATTATCAGCCGGCTCCAAGCGCTGACGCGAAAACCAGATAGCCGAAACATGCTTAGCAGCGCCTGTGAACGGATGGGGACAGAAGTGGCATTCGAGGCGGGGTTTGGCACTGTGGGAGAGGGAGCGTTTAGCCGAGCCCGATATCTCCGCCTAGGGAGTATCGTATTGACAAAGCGGTTGCGTCGTTTTTACGAGAGCAAAGAATTCTGCTTAATGCAAAATACCATGAAATTATTATTAGACGTCGCAGGCAAAGTTAGATAAATGTTGTCGTGAAATAGCACTATTTTCCCCGTTTTCCGTTGTACACTCTAGGTATTATTAGCTCTTGATATATATAATAATATATTATATTGTATTATTCTCGTCGTACTCCAGGGCTACCGTCGAGGTGCGGCGGGCGGTAGACGGGCAGCAGGTGCGTTCAAAGCTCATGCCGAGCGGAGCGTCCAAGTGCCTCGCGCGTCAGCTTTCCTGCTGCGAAAACTTGCGCGATGCCGCTGCAGTATGCCGCGCCACGGTCAACGCGCTGGCCGGATCGCACCTGACCGGCGTCCAGCTGGTGGTGGTGAACGAGGCAGGAACGCCGCTGCCCGTTGACAAGGTCGCAGCGAAGGTCAAGGTCAGTGCCGGGTCATGCGCGGAGGTCTCCCCTCCCGGTCGCTTCCTGGAATCTTCCCCTAAGATAAATCTATCCCAGAGTTCTTCCTTTCTGGGGACCTTCGCCTCCCCCCAAGTTGACCACTCCCATAAATTTATATCACTTAAAAATTCTTCACTACTAACCGGTGAGGCTGTGATACGGGCAAGGGAACGACGCGTTTTTAAAAGTGAGTGAGCTTGCGTCGACACAGGCAGGTTAACGAAATATTACAGCTGGCTGTCACGGTCGAGCGGGTCCAGCGACTTGGTGGTGGAGTCGGCGGGCAGGTTAACGAGATATTTACTTACAGGTGAGCTGGGTCACGCGCACCTGCGTGGCGGAATTTGGTGGCGCGGGGTCAGCTGCCCGACCTCAAGGTTCCTAACTCCGTCACGGACGCACAGCACTGCAACGTGTCGCTGCATGACCCGGCCGGCAACGTCGACTTCTCTTTCACTATCAGGCGAGTATCGCCTGACGAAAAAAGAAAAAGCTGGTGTGAGAACGAAGAGGAGGGTGCGGGAGGCAGGAGGCAGTGTTGGCAGGGGCGGAAGAAA